AGATCAATTGTGAGATAGATCGAGTGAGATCGATTGTGAGATCGATCGAGGGAGATCGATCGAGCGAGACCGATACTGAGATCGATAGTGAGACCGATCGAGTGAGACGTTGGTTCCTCCCCCCCCCGAACCTCCTTATCACCCGAAGGGTGGTCGTATAGGTATGGGTATGGTGCTGCTTCGTCGTGGGTGGCGCTTTGAAGACCAACGGCGTCTGTACGGGGCGTCGTGGGTGCTCATGTGGTATGCCATGGCGTAGACTGCGACAGTATACGTCGGCAAGGTTAACAGCGCGCTTGATGTCGTCTCAATGTGGCGGTGTACTCGAGGAAGCGTAGGTCGTTGATCTCGTAGACGAATGTGCGTCCCAAGTGGTCGATGTCGACCCGAGACGGTCCAAGCTGCTGCCCCATGTGCTTGGTGGTGCTCTGGGCGGGAAGTAAACCTGCCTGGTGGCGTATGCTTGTGGTGCTAGCTCTCTGGTGCTAGCTCTCTGGTTGTCCTCCACCTCCTCCTCCTCCTCTTTCTCCGCCTCCGCCTCCACCTCCTCCTCCTCCTCCTTCCCCTCCTATCTCGTCGTCCCCCTCCTCCTCCTCCTCCCCCTCCTCCTCCTGCTCCTCCTCCTCCTCCTCCTCCTCCTCCTCCCATCTCGCGGTCCCCCTCCTCTCCTCCTCCTCCTCCTGTTCCTCCTCCTCCTGCTCCTCCCCTCCTGCTCCTCCCCCCTCTCTGTTCCTCTCCCCTCTCTTCTCTTCCTCCCCCTCCTCCTCTTCCTCATCCTCTTCCTCATCCTCCTGCTCCTCCTCCTCCTCCTCCTCCTCCACCTCCTCCACCTTCTCCTCCTCCTCCTCCTGCTCCTCCTCCTCCTTCTCCTCCTCCTCCTCCTCCTCCTCTTCCTCCTCCTCCCCATCCTCCTCTTCCTCATCCTCCTCCACCTCCTCCTCCTTCTCCTCTTCGTCTCGTCCCCTCCTCAGCGCGCGTGAGCAAGAATTAAGACGGAGGTGTTTCGTCGCGTCGACGCCGGGGGGCCCTCGCTGGGCCCCAGGGCCGTGTCCCGAGGCCCGAGAGCTGCAACAGTTGCAGGGCTCCTCGCCTCAGCGCAGCGCCCATCTGGTGCAACAGCGCGCACGAGTTATATACACGGACGGAGTGCGTTCGTTTCCGAGGTGGGGCTCTCGCTTCAGCGCCACGCGCATTCGCCCTGAACGACCTTTTCACAGCATCCGGGATGGGTGGGAGTCGTTTTCACAATGCAGTTCTCGTCTTCGCGCCGCGCGCATTCGCTTGAATCATTTGCTGGTGGAGGGTTGCTATTTTTCGAAATGAGGCTCTCGCAGTAGTGTCGCGCGCATTCGAATTACAAAATCCAGCAGTCGCAGGGATGGGGGGCGTCTTCTTTAAGTAGGGCTCTCGCTTTATACGTCCACCCCCGAAGTTCATGACCACCAGATTACGCGCGAAAGCGAAGCAAGACAGCTAGTTCCTGTTCAAAGCGGGGCTCTCGTCTGAAAGGCAGGCCCATCGGTCATTGGTCTTTCAAGGGGGGGGGCTTCTTGCAGTGAAACGGAATTCTCGTAACGACGTATGAGGAGGGGACTCGGGACGGGAGGGTGCGCTGCAGCACCGTTGATGCATCTTGGGAATTACTCTGGTCCTCGTTCTCCCCCCCCCTCCTCTTCCTCCTTCCTCTACTCTTAGGTCGGGCCTGTCCCCCTAGAGGTGGATTTTGGACGAAAAATGAAATTTACGCTAAAAGCACACAGCAAACATTCAAAAATTGTCAAAAAATCGTCTCCACACTATTTTTTGACAATTTCTGAACAGTCCTCCTGAAGAGGGACACGCCCGACATAACTCTACTCGTCATTCTCCTCGGGGCGGGCCTTCCCGGAAGGCTCGAAGTCCCCTGGCCTTTTGAGACGTCTCCGACGCCTTGCCCCCGAAGTCCCAGAAAACTCCTAGGAAGGCACGAGGGCTTCTGAGGAATCCCGCCGCCTTCTGAGAAGGCCGTCTCCTTCTCACTCCCCCCCTCGCTCGGCGCTGAGCTTGGGGGAGCCCGGGACTTCGGAGGACGCGAGGGCAGTAGCCGGAGGCGCGGCGGTGGTGGCAGCAGCAGGCTCCAGCCGCCTGCGCTCCCCGCGCCGCTCGCCCGCGGGCGCCGGCGGCGAGGCCGCCGCGGCGGCCGGTTCGAGCAGGCGCATCACCTCCTCGAGCAGAGCGTCCTGCGGCCGGCGCCAGGCTGGCGAGGCTCGAGGTTTTCGGTTTTTCGCTGGTTCCTGGACGTCTTTTCCTCGCCCGGGGTGTACTCCCGCAGCTGCGCCTCTCCGAGAGCGTTCCGGGGGCTGCTGGGTCGCCCCGAACGGCCGCTGGAGCCCCGAATAATATGGCCCGAAACCCAAGCTCGGCACGGGGGGGGCCCTGAGAGCCGGGCGCTGCAATTTCTTCACGCAGGGCGTTTCTTTCGCCCGGACTCGGACCCCAGCCACAAGTCGACCTGGCTCGAAAAACGCAGCAGAAAGACGGGTCCCAGGGCTCTTGCCGTGCTTTTTCGCGATGCTGCAATTGTTTCGCAGCGTCGGATCTCAGGGGGCGCAGGCTGATGACGCGACGCGCGGCTTCGCTGAGCGCGCGCTCGGACTGTGAGCGGCACTCGGCAGGTGGCGCACGGGGCATGAGACCATACCGCTTGCGCCACCTCCGAGCACCACGATCAAGGTGACAGCAGCAGCAGCAGCAGCAGCAGCAGCAGCAGCAGCAGCAGCAGCGGCGGCAGCAGCAGCAGCAGCAGCAGCAGCAGCAGCAGTGACATCCGCGGCAGAAGGCGCGGGAGGGAGGACGCTATGTGCTGTCATGTGGCGTTCTGTTCTGAGGGGGGGCGGCGGGGCTCGCGTGGGTTCTCGGAGCTCGGGCTGGTCGAGGCACACGCTCCAGATGCTCCACGCACTGGCCTCGTCGAAGCTCACTGGGCAGAGCCAGGAGAGCCCAGAAGCGATAAATCGGATTGGCGATCGGAATGAATCGGATCGGCGGAGATCGGCAGCCGAGCCGGGATAGCCGAACCTGTGGAAGTCGGCAGGCCAGCAGGCCTCTATTGATAAATCGGATCCCGAATTGGAATCCGAAGTCGAACCGAATCGGAGTCGCAACCCATCGAGATCGAACCGAGTCTACTCGGAGGAGCCGAAATGAGCCCTGGAGAGCTCGAGGAATGGCGACGTGCCTCTCTCGCGCAGCGGAGATCTTGCGCCCGCCCTCCAAAATTGAAGCGTGCATCGATGTGCACGGGCGGAAAAAGCGGACGAAGCAGCTCGCGACTAGCGCGAGCGTCCGCCCGCGCCCCTCACCTCCGAGGGGGCCTTTTCAGCGCTGACTATTCGACGAGAGCCGCCCGGCGATAATCTGGTCGACTGCGACGGAAGGCCCGGAGGGGTCTCCAGAGGCCCGGAGGGGTCTCCAGGGGACCTCAAGATGGTCTCCCCCTTCTTGCCCCCATCTCTCTCTCTATCTCTCTCTCGCCCCCCGCGCTCTGAAACCGCTCCCAGCCACGGATCCGCAGTCATACTCGGGTCGCTAGCGGGTCACGCGTACACACTCGCGTCAGCAAATTCGCGTCAGCAGATGCGCAGGGGGGCAAGAGCAGAGGGGGGGGGGAGGAGAAGGGAGGAGGTGGAGGAGGAGGACGAGGAGGAGGACGAGGAGGAGGAGGAGGACAGAGGAGGACGAGGAGCAGGAGGAGGAGGAGGAGGAGGAGGAGCGAGGAGGAGGAGGAGGAGGAGGAGGAGGAGGGAGGAGGAGGAGGAGGAGGAGAGGAGGAGGAGGAGGAGGGGAGGAGGAGGAGGCGGAGGAGGAGGAGGAGGAGGAGGAGGAGGAGGAGGAGGAGGGAGCAGGAGGAGGAGGAGGAGGAGGAGGAGGGACCAGCTTCTCCGTTTGGGCCACCTCCATTTTTGTTCTGCCCTCCAGCCCCGTGAGGGGGGACGGCGCGAGCTGCTTCTGGGCCGTCGGACGGCCTCCTGCCCGCATCGGTGCGGCCCCTCGGAGGAGCCACGCCGATGTGGTCGGGAGTGGTCGAGACGGGCGAGACGTCGGATGGGAGCAGAGGGGCCTCCTCCATCCTCCCCCATTCCCATCCGACGCCTTGGGCATGGGGGACACGAGTCCCGAGGGGAGCGGGCCCTGGACCCTGGGCCTTCCCCGAGGACCAGCTTCGCCCAGAGTCGTCTCCTGGCAGCGCCGGGGCCCGTTGAGGGCTCCGAGAGCCCGCAAACGGCGAAAAGCCTCCGGGCCCGTTGCCCTCAGGACTGGCGGCGCGCACGCTGGGGCAGGGGGAGGGGGGAAGGCTTCTCAGAAAGAGGCTGCTTCACAGAAGGCGCCGGCCTCACATCCATAGACAAGGCCCGTGCCTTCAGAAGCAGGGGTGCTTCTAAGAAGCCTTCCCCCCTCCCCGGACCCCCCTCGGCGAGTGGCTGACAGAATCCGTTTCCCCCATGGCGAACGTCTCGCTCGTTCCCCGTCCTCCTTCCTTCTCCTCCTCCTCCTCCTCGTCCTCCTCCTCCTCGTCCTCCTCCTCGTCCTCCTCCTCGTCCTCCTCCTCCTCCTCCTCGTCCTCCTCTTCCTCCTCCTCGTCCTCCTCCTCCTTCTCCTCCTTCTTCTCTGTGTGCCCCCCATCCTGCCGCAGGGGTGGCAGGAGGGCCGATGTCCTCGACGCCCACGCGGTCCACTCTTTGATTCTCTCCTCGCTGCCCATCCCCTCCTCCCTCCTCCCTCCCTCCCTCCCTTCCTCAGCCCGCTCCTCCCCATTCTGTCCTCATCCTCATCTTCCTCCTTCTCCTCCTTCCCGCCGTCCTCCTGCTCACTGTCCTCTGGCGGCTCCGATTCGCGTCCCGCCTCCTTCCTCCTTCCTCCTCGTCGTGCTCATCCCTCTCACCCCACTGCCGCTCTGCGGGTAGGGGCGGGCTAAGACACAAGGAAGCCGACCAGAGATGGAACGATCAGAGCAGTAAGTGTTTGCCGCCTTTTCCAAGCTTCCACGTGCAGCCGCAGATGAACCAACAATGGTGGAGGAGGCGTGCGGGAGGACACAACCAGGGAGGAGGGAGAAACGATGGGGAGGAGGGAAGAGGAAAGGAGGACGACGAGGAGGACGGAAGCTGCCGCAGCGATCTTGGCTGAAGCCATCGTATGATGAATTCCCTTCCACTGGGGTTGGGGCTCTAGGTGGTCAGCAGGCCTGAGCCCCCGTCTGCCATACAATATGCATTGCTATCATGCCATGGTCTGGACTGGGTCGACCTCATGCACAGCAGACACGTGCGATCATAACCCCCGCGATGAGAAATTGTCGACGATCCATGGGCTTCCCGAGGTGTCCCAAGGCTTCGCTGGGTCCCCGGGACCATCGGGGGACACGACGTTTCGGTGGGGCACCTGCTGGCAAGTCTGCTTCTTATCTGCCGCGCCTGGTGTACTCTGCGAGGACGCGCCGGGCTTCCTCGTGGAGGGCGTCGCCATCGGTAATCGTGCAGCGCATGTCACCGTCATGGGGATCGCCTAGGCGTCCATGGCCATGCTCATACTCTTCGTCGCTCGTGGGCTTCAGCATGATTGTCACAACTCTGGCCGCGACTGGCTATGTACCGCTGGGGTGCGCTGACCTTCCTCCAGGTGTACCAATCTCCCCGGTCGTCACAACCAGTTGGTGCAGATTTCCTCGCTTGGCTCGAGAAGTGTCCTGATCATCCTCGCAGACGGGTCGTCCCTCGTCTCGGACTTCTGTGGCACATGCTTGGTGTATGCCTGGCATCGTTCCTTTCGGCTAAACATTGCTTGTGGGCTGCTAGGGCGCGATGTCATCCGCCGTGGTGGTCTACCACGATCTGGACCTCGCAACTTGTGTACGCTCATGATGCACCTCTTCATGGGCTTCCTGTTCTAGGTGGCTACGTCTGCTGATGGCCCCGTGGCAAGGTGGCATGACCCCGTAGGACACAGAGGGCCCATTGGGGGAGGAGGGAGAAAGGAGGAGGGGGGAGGACGGAGGAGCAGGGCAAGTGTAACGAGGGCGGGAAAGGAAAGTGGAGGAGGAGGAGGGGGAGCAGGAGGAGGAGATGAAGGAGGGAGTAGGGGGATGATGCTGATGATGATGCTGATGATGGTGATGATGATGGTGATGATGATGATCATGCTGATGATGATGATGATGATGATGATGACGGTGATGATGATGATGATGATGATGATGATGATGACCATGATGGTGGTGATGATGATGCTGATGATGATACTGATGATTATGATGATGACGATGATGATAATAATGATGATGACGATGAAGATGATGATGATGATGATGATTATGATGATGATGTTGGTGATGGTGATGGCGATGGTGATGATGATGATGATGATGATGATGCTGAAGATGACGATGCTGCTGATGATGACGATGGTGGTGGTGGTGATGATGACGGTGGTGCTGATGATGATAATGATAATGATGGTGATGGTGATGACGACGATGAGGATGATGGTGGTGATGATGATGATAATGATGATGATGATGACCATGATGGTGGTGATGATGATCGGGATGGGACTGGTCACGATGGTGATGATGATTCTAATGATGATAATGATAATGATGGTGATGGTGATGACGACGATGAGGATGATGGTGGTGATGATGATGATAATGATGATGATGATGACCATGATGCTGATGGCGCTGGTGATGGTGATGCTGATGCTGCTGATGATGATGATACTGCTGTTGCTGCTGCTGGCGATGATGATGCTGTTGATGATGATGCTGATGCTGCTGCTGATGATGACAATGGATGGTGTATGATGATGCTGCTCACGATGCTGCTGATGATGACGATGATGATGATGAGGATTATGATGCTTCTGATGATGACGATGATGATGAGGATTATGATGATGGTGACGACAGTGATGATGATGCTGATGATGATGAGGAGGAGGAGGAGGAGGAAGGAAATGAATAAGGAGGATGTAGGAGGAGGCGGAAGAGGAGAAGGAGGAAGAGGAGCAGGAGGAGGGGGAGGTTGAGGAGGATGAGAGGGAGGAGATTATTGAGGAGAGAGAAGGAGGAAGAAGAGGAACAACAGAAAGGGAAGGATGAGGGCCGGAGGAGGAGGAGGAGGAGGAGGAGGAGGAGGAGGAGGGGGAGGAGGAGGAGGAGGAGGAGGAGGAGGAGGCGGAGGAGGGGGAAGATGGGCATCAGCCGCTGCGCTATGCTGGTCTGAAGCGCGGCCTCAAGGCAGCGCGCACATGCGGGCGGACCGGGGGGCGAACTTGCCGTGCCGCATCTCGCATCGCACGGACATCACGCCCGACGACACCGAGAAGCCAACGAACCCGGCCATGCGGGGCGCCTCGTAGTCCGCCGCCGTGCTCTCGGCACGCCGAGGGGCGCGTCAGGCTGCAGGGGTGCGCGTGCAGCTCTGGGCGTCGCCTCCCTGACGGCCTCAGGAGGTTCTGCCGATCCAGGGGTAGGCGTCGTTCAATTTCTAATCGTGCTCATTTTTTATTGTGCTCGTTTCTAATCGTTCCTGGACCCCTAGTGGCCAGGAAGATGCCCAGGATAGAACAGTTAGAAATGAAAGGATCTTGGCCCCCCAAAAAGTCAAAGAACTTTCGAATAAGCAGAAATGAGCAATGGGTACAGAGGGGGACAAACAAAAACAAAAGCATGGAACTCTCGGAGCCCCGCGCGGATTTCTCGGATCGGCGCTGGGGCCCCCCTCTGGCGGCGACTCCGGCGCGCAGCCCCTGGCGCGCGGACCGCGCGCCAGGGAGGGGCGAGGCGGCGCCGATCCGACAAGTCTGCGCGGACCTCCGAAAGCTTATGTTTGTGTTTGAGTCGGGCCTGTCCCGTCGACATGGGGAATAATCAAAAATAGTCTAAAGATAGTCAGGGCACTATTTTTTGAATATTTTGGAGCATTTTTGGAATCTTTTTGACTACTTTTAAATTTTCGCCCAAAGTCCCCCTGTAGGGGGACACGCCCGACTTAAGTTGATGTCGCTGTTTCTTCTCCGATGTACCAACCTGCTCTGGACAGCTCGGTGGTACCATCCTGCGTGCATGTCGATGCTGGCTGCGCTGGCACCTTGTTGGGGGGGGGGAGTGCCGTAGGCAGCCGGATACTGGGCGAAGACGTGCTGCTCAAACGTTTGCCATTTGCCAAACGTGTCGTAGGTGGACCCCTGCGTCATCATCCTCTTGACGCCCCTCTTTGTCACGACGTAGTTTCCCAACCAGCCATTCGTGAAGGGAGAGAGCCCTTGCTTCATGCGGAACACGTGCTTCATCATCCAAGACTTGTTCTTGGGCAACTTTGTGTTGCCGAACGCCCGGTCGCCGGCTGGCCGCAGCGTGTTCAGGTTCACGAAGTCCGTATTGCGAGGGAGACTTCCCAGAAGCGCGTTGCGCTTCCAGCGGAAGTCGGTCTGCATGGCCTCGCTGTCCTGAAACACGTTCACGGTCCTCCACCCACTCGTCGAGCTGATCTTCCTCATGAGCCTCAGGTGGGAGATGGCCTTGGGGAAATCCAAATGCACCGATAACGCTACTCCCCAGACCCCTCCTGGGGTGCGTTCTGATCAGAAGCTCGAGGCGAATGCAGCGGTGGCGACGAGGGCCTCCCAGGAGGTCCAAAAAGGCGAAAACGAGGGAAAGGTGGCGGTATCTGTACCTCTCCAGACATCCGGCCGCTCCAACTTTTTCGATGCCTTGCTCCCGGAGGTCTGGACCACTTCCCTGGGGCCGGCGTTTCGTCCTCAGTCGCATTTCGACGGCCCCGAGGCTCGACGAGGACCCCCAGAGGCCGGAAACGGCCCCAATCCCGCCGCTCCAATTTTTGTTGGGGCGTCGGATCTCTGGGTTGGTTACCCTCCTCAGAGTATCGGGGCTTCTCAGCTCTCCGCCCCGGCGCCCGTTCTCACTGGCCCGCAGGGGGGTCCGAAAGTGGCCCTCCTGTGCGCGGCAATCCCCTGAGACGCTCCTCCCTCCTCCCTCCTCCCTCCTCCCTTCTCTCCCTCCCTCCTCCCCCCTGCCTTGCCAATGAGTGTCTTCCGAGCCAGCCCGGCGCGGGTGACGCCCTCCACCGCGCCGAGGGCAGTCGAGGGCAGCAGGCGGGCGCGCACGGCGTCGGAGACCTCGCGCGCGCTGCCAGTGAAGCAGTCGAACACCTCGAAGGAGAGGTTCGCCTCCAGGGCGAAACCAGGACGAGGATGCAATCGTGCGGGGATCACGTGGCGGGCTCCGGAAGCCCGGAACCCAAACATGCCGTCATTTCTTGGGAGGTCAACCTGCTTCCGCCGGCTTCCGCCGAGCTTCCGCCGCCTTCCGCTGGCCGAGCCGCCGCCGTTTCACGTCCGACGCCTTCCGCCGCCCTTCCGCCGCGGAAGAGATGGCAACTCCTTCGATCCTCGAAGGCGAGGCCCTTTTCGGAACGCCTCACATCGATAATCTCTGAGATCCCGCGGTTCTGGAGGATGTCGCGGGCGCCGCAGTCTTATCAGAGCATTCCGGAACGCTCTGCGAGCGCTCCAGATCGCTCTGGAACGGCTTGATCTGGGACGCACAGAGACATACTAGAACTATATGTCCTCCTTGGAAGCGCGCGTCCGACCCGTTCATTTAGTATACACATCTTGTAGTATATCGTTTCCCGAGCGGTGTGGCCAGAAAACGCCCGACGCTTATACTAGAAGACTTCTCGGTGCGCCCGCGCCACTGGGGGGCGACGCACACGTAGTATTAGTATGTCGGTGTGATGCCGATTATCCTCTTCCCAGCTCCGTCCGACCTCTCTCATGCGCTTGGTGAAACGCTGCAGCTTCTTGGTGTCCTGAGCGCAGTGGATAACGACGTTGACAGGCTCCGGAAATCCGTTCGCCAAGACGACGCCCAATCCCCCACGAGCGGCCGTGCCGTTGGTGGCCGTGCTGTTGATGCTGCCCTGGGCACTCAGCCAGGGGTCGGAAACAATTAAGCGAAACTCATGCAGAACATATGGTTTGAACTCCCCCCCCCTTCCCCCCGAATGCAACGTTGGTTTCAGATCTGCCGATTTTGGGCCTCCGAGTGGTCTTCAAGGAACGTGCCAACTTTGAACTGCGGGGGAGGGGGGGGGGGTCGCTTCATTTCTTCCCTCAACCGGCTCCCCGGGACCCAAGGCAGGCAGCGCAGAGGAGACGGCGAGCCCTGGGTACTCCGCCCTCGTGAACTCGTGCAGCTCTGGCTGGTAGGTGACGTGGCCGAACTGGAGCAGCGGGAGGCTGCAGATGATCACGCTTGCGGTGACGATGAACGTGGCCCTCCCGCCCGAGATCCTTCGCAGCGGCTCGGGCAGGGCGAGGCCGGTCCTGCTGGTGGCGAAGGCCACGACCTGCTGGCAGCGCGGGCTGATACGCCTCTGTTTCGACACGTCGCACACCGCCGAGTGCCGAGGCGAGCGCGTGGCCTTCGGGGTCGGCGCCTGCACGTCCTGCCCGTCGGGCGCCTCCTCCTCCTCGGCCTCGGCCTCGGACCGCCAGAGCCGCCCGCTCAGGCCGAGGAGCATGGCGGCGCCACCGCCCGCACAGGCGGCCATGAGCAGCAGCACGTTGGCCCCGTAGCCGGCGTCGATGAGGCTCTGCGTCGCCATGATCCCGAAAACGCCGAGCAAGTTCCCAAATGCCTCCATGAACGAGCTCACCGTCGCCTCTCGCGCCGGGTAGCAGACCTCTGCCCCCAGCTCGCAGCTGCAGCCCCAGCCGGGGGTGGCGAGCCCAAAGATGGCGAGTGCGGCGATGAACCATCTCTCGTCCATTCGGAAGTGCAGGGAGAGAAATCCGATTAGCAGAGCAGCGACCAAACAGCCATTGGCGATGAGGAGGGCGCTCTTATACATGGTGGGGCTGTCGATGTATTTGGCCTCGAGCAGGGTGCTCAGGATAGAGGTGATTGCGCAGGCAAGTGCTGTCCAAGATGCGACTGAAGCACTGTAGCCATAATGCTCCAAGAGAGTGCCCTCGACGGCGTCGAAGGCGTGGCCCAGGGCGACGTACACCGCGAACTGCCCGTTGACGACCCAGAAATCCCGCAGGCTCAGCATCGCCAGCAGCTCCTGGTGGAATGGCACCTCGGGTCTCTCGAGACCCGCGGCGCTCCGCGCGGGCGGGTCCTGGTACAGCACCGCCGTGACCACCAGGGAGACGAAGGCGGTGCCGAGCTGGAACTGCATGAGGCGCGTCATCTCCCGCTCGGCCGACTCCAGGCTCTCGGGGTGATCCTCCACGAGCAAGGGCGGGAGCATGAAGATCGGCGACTCCGAAGGGCGTGGCCTGCCACGGGTGTGGCTTGCACCTGGCACCCCGGGGGGCACCCTTGGGGGGCGGGCGAGGACCTCGACGGAGCTCTCCGCCGCGCCCCGAGGAGGTCAGAACGAGGGCAGCGTCGTGCCCCCCAGGCCCCAGCGGTGCCCGTCGCAGACCACACCCCGGCGCAGCCGCACCCTTTGCAGTCGCCGAGAAGGAGAGCGAGCTGCCGACAAAGTTCATCAGGTTCGAGACCATGGCGGCCGTGGGCCGCTCGTGCGGCGGGAACCACTCCGCCCCCATCTCCGAGGTGGTGTTCACCAGCAGCGGCTGCCCCATCGCACACAGCGCCTGCCCGATCAGCAACCACGCGTAAGGCATCACCGCCGGCTCCGGCGACGACGCTGGCACGCTGCCGGGATTGGTAGGCGCGCTGGCGTTGTCGATCCACGGAAAGCTGGAGCCTTCGCGGAAAGGGTGCAGCAGCGTCGTTGGTACGAGGAGGAAGCTCATCAAGAATTGCGGACCACAGCGCACGACGCAACCAGCGACGTTGAGCACCATCGCCAAGATGAACGTCCAGCGGCAGCCGATCTTGCCTACGATGGGTCCCGTCAAGAAGGCGCCCGGCACAAACACCAGAGCGTACACAATGCAGAGCCAGTCCAGGGCTGTCTCGTCCGCCCCGTAGACCTGCATGCTCTGGCGCAGGATAGGCACAAATGTGTAGTAGGGGAGATAGCTAACGCAGATGTCAAGGCAGAGGATCGAGAGCATCACCCATCTCCAACTCGATAGTCTTCTGTGGGGCGGAGTCTTCTCGGCGATGCCGACGCTGTGCGGGCCCTGCGAAGGACTTACTTTGGTGGTCATCTGTGCCTGCCTACGGATGCCAGCATCGCGCAAGAACACAACGCGAATGTGCCATCACGTCCTCCGTGCTACAGCGGTCGGCATTGTGCCGGAAGCTGCCACGGTCGTTGCCGACATCCCAGTTGCTAAGTCTGAGCTACTCAGCTTGAGCCCACATGGCGGATTCAAAAGCCCTGAACCAGAAAACATTGCCACCTCTTGGGAGCCCGATGTTTACTTCCGCTGGCCTTCCGCTGGCGGAGGCGGCCTCGTTTTACTTTCGCCGCCTTACGCTGGCCTTACGCCGCCTTCCGCCAAGGAAGAGACAGCAACTCCTTCGATCCTCGAAGGCGAGTCCCTCTCTGGCATGCATCGTATCATCACGGAACGACGAGCAGCAGCAGGGTGAGAACGAGGACGGAGCGAGAAGGGCAGGGGCAGCGGAGAGAGGAGGACGAGGGGAGGGAAGAGCAGCGGGGGGACGAGGCCGAAAAAGGCCAGAGCAACCCAGGACGCATCAACAGTGCTGCACTACAATCGGACCTGGGCCAGAAGAGCAGGAATCCTGCAAAAACATGAGACCCTCCGCCGGCCAAACGTACAGAACATCCCAGTGTACCCTCCCCAGGGTGCCCAACAACATCCAACAAGCACGAAGAACATGAGGGCACCCTCCCCGAATCGACCTCGATCCTATACCTCCGTCCGACCGTATGGCATTCATCCACCTCCTCTTCCTCCTCCTCCCTCCTCCTCCTCCTCCTCCTCCTCCTCCTTCTCCTCCTCCTCCTCCTCCTCCTCCTCCTCCCCTCTCCCTCCTCCCTCCTCCCTCCTCCCTCCTCCCTCCTCCCTCCTCCTCCCTCCTCCTCCTCCTCCTCCTCCTCCTCCTCCTCCCTCCTCCTCCTCCCTCCTCCCTCCTCCCTCCCCTCCTCCCTCCTCCCTCCTCCCTCTCCTCCCTCCTCCTCCTCCTCCTCCTCCTCCTCCTCCTCCTCCTCCTCCTCTTCTTCCTCAAGTCGTCGTTCCCGTCCCACGTCCTCATCCTCACGAGCCCCTGCACGCATCCCTTCTCGATATGCGCGACGCGCCCCCCCTCGAGAGGACGAGCGCCGCATCGGCCCACCATTCGGGCGAGGGCCCCGCTTTGAACACGACATGCAGGCCATGCATCCTCGTGGCTGTACGAGCGCGAAGAGGTACAATCAGACAAGAGAGTTCAAGATAGTTCAAAGAAATGTCTTGCGGGGCCCCGTTCTGAGGTAGAGCCGCCCTCCACCCGCGCATGGGTTGCAGGAGCTTGCTACCCTGGTCATGTCTATCAGGATGCCTCCAACGAGAAACCAAAAGAGAACAATACTAGCTCTCCATCCGTGTCACTGGCGGACGAACTTACAGATCTGGACATCAACCTAGAAGTAGTCTCAAGCGAGAACCCCATCTTGAAAAAGAGCCGCTCTCCGTCTGCGCGACCACTTGAACCTTGTACAGCAACAAATTTGCGCGGCGCCAATGGGAGAGCCACAATTTGGGAAATAACCGTCCTCTATGGTGTCAGACCACTTTCGAAGACCAAGTGCTCTCAATCGTCGTAGCCGTTGGAAGCTCCCATGCGCGAGCCACACTTTGAACACCACCCGCCGCCCATCCTGGTGATTGCTGAAATCCTTCAAGGCTAATGCGCGTGGACTGCACCCGTGGTGTGCAGCTGCCTTGAATGGGAATTCAAAAGAGTAGCTCCTCCTCCTCCTCCTCCTCCTCCTCCTCTCCGATTATCATACAAAATATTCCCAAGCCTCTCCTGGGCTGCGTTCTGATTAGGGCGCCGAGGCGGATCCAGCCGTGCCGACAAGGGACCCACCTGAAGGAAACGTCGAAGGTCATCCTTCCTGATCGTCCTTCTGATCCCTCCTCATCCCTCCTCCTCCGCCTCCTCCTACTCCGTCTCCTCATCATCATCATCATCATCATCATCATCATCATCATCATCATCATCATCATCATCATCATCATCATCATCATCATCACCATCACCCCCTTTTCCTCGCCCTCCTCCCTCCTCGTTCTCGTCCTCCTCCGCCTCCTCTTCCCCCTCCTTCTTCTCCTCCTCCTCTACCTCCGTCCTCCTCGGGAGGAGGAGACTCGGCCGACCGTCGGTCGCGGCGGCCCAAGGGTCCTCATCTGGCGCTTCCTCGTCCGCGGAGGAGAAACGCGGCGCTGGAGCCTAGCGGGTGGAGACGCCCCGTCCGCCCCCTCGCCCTCCGTCCACCCCCCGTTCTCCTCCTCCTCCTCCTCCTCGTCCTCCTTCTCCTCTTCTTCCTCCTCCTCCTCCTCGTCGTCCCCCTCCTCCTCCTCCTCCTCCTCCTCCTCCTCCTCCTCATCAGCATCATCATCATCAAGATCATCACCCTCATCATCCTCATCATCCTCACCATCCTCATCACCATCACCATCACCATCACCATCACCATCATCATCATCATCATCATCATCAGCATCATCATCATCATCATCATCATCATCATCAAGCATTATCATCAGGATCATCATGCTCATCATGATCATCATCATCACCACCATCACCATCACCATCACCATCACCATCACCATCACCATCACCATCATCATCATCATCATCATCATCATCATCATCATCATCATCATCATCATCATCATCATCATCATCATCTTCAATATCATCATCCTCATCATCATCATCATCCTCACCATCCTCAGCATCCTCATCCTCCTCCCCATCATCATCATCATCAGCATCAGCATCATCATCATCATCAGCAGCAGCAGCATCACAACCATAATCAACATCATCATCATCAGCAGCAGCACCAGCATCATCATCATCAGCATCATCCTGGTCCTGGTCCTGGTCCTGATCCTCATTCCCATGCTGAACCTCATGATCATCCTGATCCTCATCATCCTCATCCTCGTCATCATCGTCATCATTACCACCACCACTACCACCATCATCATCAGCATCATCATCACCATCATCATCACCACCATCATCGTCATCATCACCACCACCATCATCAACACCACCACCAACATCATCATCATCACCATCATCAGCATCAGCATCATCATCATCAGCAGCATCAGCATCAGTAGCATCAACAGCATCATAATCGGCATCATCATCATCAAGATCAGCATCATCATCATCACCATCATCATCCTCATCATCCTCATTCTCATTATCATCACCAGCATCACCATGACCATCATCATCATCATCATCATCAGCCTCAGCATCAGCAACATCGCCATCATCATCTTCAGCAGCAGCATCATCAGCATCATCATCGGCATCCTCATCATCATCACTATCATCATCGCCATCATCATCATCATCATCATCATCACCATCATCATCATCATCATCATCATCATCATCATCATCATCATCATCATCATCATCATCATCATCATCATCATCATCATCATCATCGTCATCATCCAAGCTCCTCCTCCTCCTCCTCCTCCTTTTCCCCTTGATCCTGCCCGCCGTCACTCCGTGTCCACCATTATCATCCTCCGCCTCCTACACCTTGTCCCATCTCCTCCACCCTTCCCATTGTCCTCCTTTCCTCGCACCCTTCTTTCTCTTCTTCATTCTCCTCCTCCTCCTCGCCCTCCTCCTCGCCCGCCTCCTGATTCTCCTCCTCCTGCTTCTCCTCCTCCTGGATCCCCGCATCACCCTCTCCCTAGGCATTCCCTGGCTCTTCGTCCTGTTTGGGGCGCTACAGGTGAAGGTCAGAAGAGGTTGGTGGGTGAGACCGAAATAAAACGGATTGCCCCCCCCAAGAAAATCGGCTTCTGTTCCGGTTCGTGCCGCGCGTGCGGCCAAGGCGAAACTACGCGAGATCCTCACGTAGTAAGACACATCTCACCCAATATCAGATGGTCAGACACATCTCACTCAATCTGCTTCCCCCGCCCTTGCAGGCAGCGGTCCCGTCTTGGAGCCATCTGGAGCAGAAAGATTTTTTCCATCTGGAGCGGAAGAGCTGAGAGAACGAAAAACCTCAAATACGCAACAAAAAGAGTTTGAAGACTTTGGCCTCTCGGAGGCGCTGGGCGGGGCCATTGTGGAGCTTAGTGGGGCCTGCTTAGCGCAATCTTGGTGCGCTCTGGAGCGTCATGGCCGTCCTGGGCTCGTCCTGAAGGCTGCAGCAGTCGGCCTGACGAGCCTTGCATCAGTCGGCCTGGCTCGGATCCGCGCTGGGGGTCCCCCGAGAGGCGAGCGTGATAGGGACGAGTGCCGCGTGCACTGGCCCCTGCAGTGTGGAGATGATGGGGACATCGAGCTTCCAAGGTTTCCAGGGCCGCCCTATCGGGACACTACGCTCAACCTCCCCTCGTGCGCCTCCCCGGCGCGCCTCCCCAGTGCGCCTCCTGAGTGAACCTGCCCAGGTGCTCCTCCGCGGTGCGCCTCCCCAGTGCGCCTTCCCAGTGCGCGGCTTCACCCCTCGCGTCTCGCTGCGCAGCGCCACACCCCGCTGTTGCAGCTCCGCCCTTCTCGCTCGCGCCGACCCCAGCGCCGCGGCTGACCAGCGCGAACCCGTTGAAAATCCACGGCCAGCGGGGCGAAGCCAGCGGCCAGGGTGAAGCTCGCTGTGGGCCACCGTGTGCGTCCAAGGGCCCCGGACGGCGCCGAGACCGCACGAACGGCTCGTGGGCGCACCTCGCCGGGACACGGGCAGAGGCCCTCCCCCGTCGTACCCTCCGGCGTGCCAGGGCCGCCCTGCGCCAGTGGCTCGTTCGCCCCAGCGCGGGTCTTGAGACGCCGTGCGGCGAGGCGGGGGAGCAGCGCGCACGGGCGTACGCCACGAACAAAAATAAGCACATCGGACGAACTTCGCGTGTGCCTTCAGGGAGGGCGGGTGCATATAAAGTTGCTGGCTCTCAGTGGTGCTGTGTACGCCGCCACCCTCCTCCGATGCCCCAGAAAGATCCTTTGGATGGTGTCTGTGTATATCTGTTGTGGCGGAGGGCACGAGGCGCAACACATTGGGTGGATGAAGCGCAGAGGCACATGGACATCATGCTCGCAGAAGTGTGTCCACGGGAGAAAGATGCTCTGAAAAATGCCACTCGGCCAGGATGTGATCGACTGCGGGTCAGGACTTGGTGTGTGGCACTTGACCCAGCCGAT